TTGTCTGTAGAGGCCGTCATCAAAAATTGAGTGAACTCTATTCTTTTCTTTTATATTTATTCTTAAAAAGAAAAAGAAAAAAAGAAAGAAAGAATGGCTTCGATCAAACGAGTAAATCATATGAAAAAAACTTTCTTTTTATTCTATTTTTGTAAAATTTGATTTGATTTATTTAAGAAATATACAACTAATGCACAAAGTGGCATTGATTATGAAAATCCGATATTAAATGGAAAAAAAGTTGTCAAATCTAAACGAAAAGGAATATTAAAAATTGATCATCCATCTCGTTGGCCTGGTGATGTATCAAATACATTTCAACATCATATAAACAAAACTAAGCCAAAAACAAATTGTAAACATTTATTCTTTTTTAATAGAAAAAAAAATATCAAAATATTCCTATTTATTATTCATTTAGCTCGACAGTTAAATTTTTGTGAATTACCCGATGAAATTATTTTAACAATTCTCAACTATCTAAATAAAGCAACCATTGTTGCATTTGGACAAACTTGTCGAAGATATCGAGCTATTGGGTATGATACGAGAAAAAATGAAAAGAATTTAATAGCTCAATTAATTAATTTAGATATCATTCAATATTATGGCGTCGTGTTGATATGTCTTATAAACATGTTGATTGTGAACAGTTAAATAGTCTTTTACAACGAGGAACAACTACACTTAAAATGTATCAAACAACAGTAAGAAATATTTTTTGTCATATATACATTATTCTGAGTAGAGAATCCAATAAATCAAGAACAATTACATAAAAAGAGAAAGAGAGAGATTTGTGTTATGATATGATAAATCTTCTATAATGATTGATTTTATTTTTAGGTTGAAAATATGAATTTTACTTATATTGAACCATGTTTGTATGTATTACAATAGTCTCTCATATTAAAACAAAATTTGTCTTTTTTTTCTTTGTTATGTTAAGTTTATCTCATCTTGATTTAACATCATCGATTATTTCTACTGAACTTCTTATTAATTTACTTAATTCATGTACTTCATTACGAAAACTCAGTTTAGAATCTATAGCATTGAACTATGAAATT